ATGCAGTGCTCTAAAAAGAAATGTTAGAAAATAAATAAGTAAATTGCTTAATTTTTTAAATTAAAATTACAAAATCGACTTTTTCTTCTGCTTTACTTTCTCGCCATTCATTATATCAGTTGCCTATAAATGTAGATAAGTATAAAGGTTAAAACTATTTGTTTTATACACATATATATGAATGATTTATTATATTAACTGCTTCTTCAGCCACAATTGGTTGGGTTGCTGTTGGAGATATATTATTCGCACACTCCCGACTTCCTGACACGCTTGGATCCTAAAGTATAATATTTGTTTGAATTGATGTAATAAAATTTAATAAAATAAAATAAAGTATTAAATCGTAGTTATATTCCCCCTTCCTAATTTCGGTATGCTACTCCAAAAATTGCAGTAGCGAGGAGCACCATAACTTTGGAGAATATATTTATATATACATATATATACATATATCCTGTGCTTCTACCAAATATATTAATTTTTCAATCTTCGGCCGATAGCCCATGATGCTAGTGCTGCGTATTTTCTTAGTTTGTATAATAATTGTATTATTATGTAAGCTTTTATAAAATAAAAAAAAAATAAAAAAAATAAAAAATAAAAAATTTTCAATTAGCGCTTGTGTCCACTTTACTTTTTCCGCCATATTTATCTAAAATAATCGAATATTAATAAACATAAAATTTAAAAATTAATTTATTCAACTCACTTTTTAAAATTTCATCAACACTGTAAATTAACATCCGCACGCTTCAATATCCAAATAACAACGCAACAGGCATTAAGTGTACCGTAGCCGTACAGCACACAAATTTGAGAAAATGATATGAAAGAGAATGAGAAAAAAACTCGAACAGAGTTGCGCAACACAAGTTGCTCGTGTGAACGCAATGGGCAACAGCAAAAGAGAATTGCCCGAGAATCAGCAACAAAAGTTACTTCATGCAATAGTCGAGTTAGCAGAAGTAATAAAATCCGTTGATGTATCGAATATCACATTAAAAAAAAAACATCGATGGATATCGGCCATCACTAACGCCGACTACAAATTACTGATTGAATTAAATATCTATTAATGTTCTTATAGAAACTAAGTTAAAAACGACAAAAGAAGAAATTTTTAAGGTATAAGTGTTAATGTAGCATTTCTTATGAAAACAAATACTGATATTGAAACCAGGTTTCATAATTGCTCACATCTCAAATGTGTATGTATATACTTTAATGCATTCCAATCTAAACTTTTTAGTTGCTTAGAAGCTTCATGTATTATTCCATATAGATACTGAAATTTGTACCAACTTAATAAATATTTTGTGTTGTTTGTGTTGTTAAATTTTAACTAAATTAGGGATTATTTGATATTTTCTAGTGAATTTTTGTAAAAATTCCTAGCTTTTGGTATTTATAAAGAGGAATTGAGACCCGTTAATTTTAATACGATCGCTTGAATAATGCAAATATATAGTGTTCTATGAGAAGCATTTCTCTAAATAAATTCATGATCATTTGAGAATCAAAGAAATATGTATATATTCAATATAGTATTTTTATAAAAGTGAAAACAAAGAATGGCTGGGATTTAGAATAACGTTCTCCGGTTTCGGGGTTAAAATGGGTATAGAAAGACGAGGTCCTCCAGGTCCAGAAAAAAATATATATAGTTGCCGTTGAATTACGGTTTTTGAGTTATTTGCATTTAAAGTTAAATAATCTAATTATTTAAAAAGCGTGTTTCTCCCATTTATAATGAATTTTACACTTATATTTTTCACTTTTATATCCACCAACACTTAGATAATTCGTTGCTACACATTTGTTTTGCATTAAATACAGCGAAAATAACTTTAATTCCATATTTAACTTTCGTTGAAATCTATTAATTCATACAATAAGAAAATGGTTACAAAGAAAGAAAAAATCTAATAAAAATTAGTAAAAAAGGAAGATTGGGCCGTCATTACAAAATTCATTATCTTTTGATGAGTAATGTAAAATCTTTCAGACATTTCATTATTTTGATGTTGTTGTTGTTGTAACAGCAGAAGTCTGCCGAGGTGACAGTCCTTGGCCGGATAAAAATCCGGGTCCGTTCCGGTTTATTAGACCCGACTGTCGTGGAAACGGTTCATTATTTTGATATCATTATTTTGATAAATCTCGGTGTTGGATCATCACGAATTAAACACGAAAGAACTGAAAACGCCCAAGTGTTGGTCCGCCAGGGTTATTGGTTTCAAAGGCGCCCGAAAGCAGCCAACCCAATAAGGACGAAAGGCTAAAACGTTTCTTTTCTTTTTGAAGCGCGGCAGAAGACCACCAATGCAGAAAGGAATTATACGATTATATATACACAATCGGTTCAATGTAAGTAACGAGTGAGTGGTAGATAAACAGAACATTTTTGGTGTGCGAGATGAAGGCTTGATACATTCCTACGTGTAATGAGTTTACGAGATTGCAATCCTATTATTTGGTCCGTGGCATATGGTTGGTGGATGCGAGAGGCTAGTGGAATCATCAACACCTTCACCGACTCCCTTCCCGTGAATGGCGTTCTTGGAGTCAAACCGCCACCTATTGCAGACGAAGAGCTCCAGTTGCCGCGAGAAACGCGAGTGACCCTAGCGTAACTTCGTTCTGGATATTGTAGTAGGTTAAACTCCTACTTATCCGGAATTGACCCAGACATACCCAATGTATGTGCTGCATGCGACGAGTCCTCGTATGGTACTGGCCACCGGTTGTTGTTGTAACGGCAGAATTCTGCCGAGTTGACAGTCCTTGGCCGGATAAAAACCCGGGTCCGTTCTGGTTTTCGTAGACCCGACTGCCACCTCTTTGCATGCCCTACACATCCTACCCATCTAACACCCTCTTCCCTTTGGTCTCCCCCTTCGAAATAGCACGTTTCCTGGGCCTCCCGTTAGATGATCTCGACGACAATGCAAAAGACCCTTACCACCCACACAGGGATTAGATAACCGTTAAATCAACAACAACAACAGCGAGAGGCTAGTAGGAGCAAGCTCAAAATTTCTGCAAAGAAATATTAAAAGTTATTTTTGCAATATTTTATATAAAGTAAATGGATTGAAACGAATTGGTGAAGTGATAGCGGATATAGAAGTTAAAAAAAGTGTAAAATTCATTTAAAACGGAGAAACACGAATTTCAAATAGTTTAATTTTTTAACTTTAAAAACAAATATCTCAAAAACCATAATAAGGACTTTCTCTTTCTGTATATACCCATTTTTAAGTCGGATGATGCTATTCTAAAATTTATCCCGAAGCATAAGTACGGTCTCGAGAATTTGGGAAATTAATTATATAAAAGTAGTGTTGAGTTGAGTAGAGTTGACAGTCCTTGGCCGGATAAAAATCCGGGTCCGTTCCGGTTTTCGTTGACCCTTCTGTCGTGGGAACGAATTGTTCAATTGCATTCACGTTGCGTGTTATAGTACCTGAAATAAAAGGATTAATTCTAAAATAAATACTGTGTTCAATTTAATGTTTTTAATTCACCGCTGGATGTCAATGGAAGGTCCTATTAAAGGACCCCACCTTCTGAAAGCCCCAGGAAGTTGTATGCGGCCCCTCGGGTTCTGGGAAGACTACATTGCTGAAGAAGCTTTTCAAAGAATTTCCTCAGACTTTTGGTTTTAGGATATCACACATAGCACGTTCTCCACGCGCCGGGGAAGAACATGGTGTTCATTATTACCTCATTGACAAGGATAAAATGGAGGGGAAAAATAGCTAACAATGAATTTATAGAAACCGCAATTTTTAGTTGTAATACATACGGTACTAGTAAACATGGAGTTCGTAACATACAAAGGTCCGGTAAAGTGTGCGTCCTGGACATCAAATCACAAGGAGTCGAGCAGATCAAAAACCGGATTTTAATCCTAGTCTACATCAATCCACCACCAACGCTCAAGGATTTGGCGTCGCGTTTGCGTAAAACAAAATCGGAAGAATCGTTACAGAAGCGTCATGCGACTGCAGAACAAGAGTAAACATATGAGTTACCGAAGGAAATTCGACAAAATTTATAAACAAAATCAAAATAGAAACACTCAAAAAGTTGTTTGCAATTATTAAAAATTTTGCTTTTCAACACACACTATTTTAAAAGATAAAATGTTTTTGCATATACGTTGTTATATGCTTGTATATATATTATCTATTATTGATATTGTTTTAATTTGTTAATACGTAATATACACTACAATAATTTATACAATGTAAAATTCTTTTAACTGAGTAAATAATATAAACCAATAGAAACTAAATTTTTTTTTTTTTAATTTATTTTGGAAAGGTAATTGGTAAAGTTGTTTTAGCGGCTGATCCTGACAGTTTTTGGTCCGATAAAAAATTCTAGTCCGGTTACTCGACTGTCATGGGAACGGTCAAGGTAATTGTTCATAATATGGAGTAAATCTATATATCTACATATTGATGTTTCGCACACTAAACACAAATCGATATACTGCTATAAATTACAATAGCTGAACTTGTTAGTGGTGAACTTTTGTGGGAGAAATTTATTTATTTTGCTACTTTTTTATTTGTAACATCTATCTAGGCGAAGTGATTTACAGAATTATATATTACAACTAGATGCTATTAGACTTAGACAGAAATAGTTTTAAGAAGTGTTGGTGGATAAACATCATATTTATAAAAATCTAAATTTTATAAAGGCCAATTTACAATTTAAGAAACCTTAATATCAAAAACGTCCTAGGTAAGTTCCTTGTTTCTGTAGATAAAGAATAGAGGCAAAGTAAAAGGAAGTATTTTAAGATTTATTTTTATGTTATATAATTTTGTGCTCACATATTCGGGATTACTGCTTCTATACTCTTTTTTTATTATTTTGCAGATATCGTATGGTACATCCACGAAATTCCCCACACGCACAATAACCTCTATTGCGGTTCGCACTAAACAAGAGATATTTTTTACAGTAAAATTTTTTGATGTCTAACTTTTATTAAAAGGAAGAAAAATAGATAAAACCGATTTAGTAATCGTCGAACCAGGAAGTTTTTGTAGTATCGACAAGAAAATGTCGTCGTGTTCGCAGCCACGTGTGTTAAAAAAAAAACATTTTCGTGTAAAGCATCAAAAAGTAAAACTTTTTCGTGCCAACGAACCGATTCTGAGCGTTTTTATGTGGGGCATTAATCACACGGTGAAGATAAATTATTGTTCTGTATAACTGGTGTAAAACTAAAAATGTATTTATTGTTTATAATTTCAGATAAATGAACTAAGTCATGTTAATATTCCTGTGATGCTTTTGCCAGATGACTTTCGCGCATTCTCAAAAATCAAAGTTGATAATCATCTTTTTAATAAGTATGAATATAAACAAATTGGCGAGTAACACAATATGTACTGTTTGAATTTTAGGGAAAATATGCCGTCTCATTTCAAAGTCAAGGAATATTGTCCATTAGTATTTCGGAACTTGCGTGAGCGATTCAGTGTTGATGATGTTGATTATCGCGAGTCACTAACTCGCTCACAGCCATTACGTATTGACTCATCAGGTAAATCCGGAGCGCAGTTTTACCAAAGTTATGACAAATTTTTTATAATAAAGAGCTTGACATCGGAGGAAATCGAACGTATGCATGCATTTTTAAAGCAATATCACCCAGTGAGTATTTTCACCCATAACACCAAAACATTCATCTTTACGTGTGTTTGCAAGATGTGTTGTAGATTATAACCAAAAAAAGGAAGAACTAGTTCTTAATTTTAAAATTCTCAGTTATTTTTTCAAAATCTATGTCGCCCTTTTGCCAAAGTTTTTTTCCAATCTAAACCGTTGGTAAAGTCAATTTCCGGAATAGCTTTCAGTAGCGCGTAGTGATTCACCTTTAATGTCTAATTGACTCAAATCGGTTTTTTCTGGAGCAGTTTTTTGAGGTTGCTGAATAGTCAGAAGTCATACGAAGGGGGCACAATATTATTTGAAAATATGACAGAAAACACACAGATCCAATGCAGTATGTGACAGTGCATTATCGTGGTACAAAAACCAAGAGTTGTCCAGCCTCATATTTATAGTCTTGCAGTCATACTACATAGTATAATATTTTTGTTAATCAAACGGCTGTATGTATCACCTAAAACTAAGCGAAATAGATGTAGGGTTATAAGCATTTAACTCTTTCGTCCCTGAATACCAATTTTGCGTATGTAATCAAAATACTAGGTTAGAATAACTATATTGCTACAACATATACCATTTCTTTTGAAATAATTAAAAAACAATGTTTATGGAACCCATGGGGGAAGGGGGAGTGTTGGTACATATGGGCACCAGTACAAATATGTACCAACAGGTAAGAAGATGCTAGCAACTTTTTATATATTTTTTAGTGTTACTCATATATTTTGGAAATGTATTAGTTTATTTTGTATGATACAGCTTGAAACAATCTTTACACAACGGTATATTACATTCAACGCAAATCGTTTTGGTTCTTTTTTAAATTTTCATTACCGAACAACGAGTACAGCGTCTTCTAGTGGCACCTTCTATAGGGAGATGTAATGCTGATCCATAAAGTTTTCTTTTCTTCGAAATTGGACCTCTTTGGTAATAGTAACTCAGTAGTATTTTTTCCTTCGGCAATCAATTCCTCGGCAAGATTCACCACATATGTTAGATAAGGAACTTTTTCATTCTTACGCCTCAAGTCGTTGTAAATAATCCATGCAAGTATAAAACACTTTTTTCCACCACTTCGAGGACTTTCTGTCGTGATGGTAGACACTTATGAATTGATCTGCGCGGTCAACTCCTCCCATTTTTTGCCGATAGAACGCAATTGCTTCCGGGCAGTCAATTTCCCCTGTTTGGCCCGTCTTATCCTTTTTTTAAATTTTAGTTACATTATGTATATGACAATTATTCAATAATAAGACTTCCTTCGTATCTTGCCACTTCGTACACATAAGTCCCGTGTCGGTGCATCTGAACTTCGATTCTCCTCGTTTGAGTTTTGATGGCACATTTTTGCGATTAGTCATGCATGTGCCAACCGCCGCAAAATTGATAGTTTCCAGTAAATTTACACTGGTGAAAAAGCGATCAAAGCATAGTACAACGTCAGGAACTTTATTTGCCTTTACCAACGTACACATTGAGATCATATGTATATCCAGAATCGGCATCACAACGAAGCCATAGTTTGATGCCTCGTTTGATTGGTTTCATGGGCATATATTGCTTTAGCGAAGAACATCCCTTGAACTTAGTCATATGCTCTGGAATGGACTATCTTGACGTCATTTACTAAAGCTGTGTTTCAAACAGGAAATCAAGTCATCGACATAATATGATGTTGTGGCATCCGGTGGTTTATTTGGCTGGGAAAAGTAAAGCTTGGAAGTAAGGACCATATATCTATCATGAGAAATACAGTTTTCTATTGTTCGATTTCACATATATTCTTTTTGACTCCAATAATGCTTTAGTCCAGGAAGCTTATTATATGACATGATGAGCATACATCCTATAATTTTTTTTTACATTTCATCCTTTTCTGTTAGTTTTATCATTTTTTGTTGTTGCCCTTTACACTTGTTCAATAACTCAAGTCGTTGATTAGTATAAGCGACTATATGTAAATATAAGGAATGCGGAAAGAGTTTATGGAAAATTTGCATTGAAGTGGATTGTTTTGATACATCAATTAATATTTCACTGGACCTTTGTAGTGGGATAGTTTTGGCAGGACGGAATGAATCGCTCGGCTCAAACCAATCAAAAATGCGATTGATGCTATTAGGTTGAAAACATTCAGCTTCAGATTCTGTAGATGAATCCTCAGAAACATGCAATGGGGTTTTGGGCTGGCTGTGATGTTGACGACTCCTGAAAATCACCTTGAATATATTCAAACTCATTCTCATTTTCTGATGCAGTTTCTTCTTCACTATCTTCAAATGATGAATCTGTTTCATCTTCCTAGGCTCATATTCGTCAGATAAACCCGCAGAAAAATCCGACAGACTTTCAACCAGTCTCTCTAACTCCTTTTGGCTCAAAAATCTTTTCGACATTTTAGTCCTGGAATGAACATAAACTTGTACGCATCTGTGGGTACATATAAATATCAGTAAAAAATACTGCTGGTACATATATGTACCACGATATAAAAGTGTATATAAAATATACACCTGCTTCAAATAAAACCTTTTTCATATTTACCTATGTTCCTCTAAGTTTCGTGTTCGTTTTTTTAATAAAAATCACTTGTAATTACACATTCAGCTCCGATAACACGTGAATAAGAGACAAACTGTAAAACTTACGCCTGCCACACTTTCAAAAATATTTAGAGTTACCGGCTGGTATAATTTTATACCGTTTTTAGAGCAATTTAAGACTTTAAGGGTATTTAAAATTGCGCTGGTAAATATGCGTACCACTCGGGACGAAAGGGTTAAAGTTAAAACCCGGATGACTGTCTGTCAGTCCGTCCATCCGTCCGTCGATATCTTGATGGTATGTGGGTTCCGTAGTACAAACAAATTAGGAGCTCGTGGATTGGCGTAATCGGAAAACCTGAAAAGTGCCATAACTGCGCACTAATTTAAGCTATCGAACTCTAATTTGCCACAGGATATCACAGTAGCAAGGGACACCTGTGGGCCAAAAACTATTAAAAAGGCCATAATAAATTTAATGCAAATATCTCCTAAACCACTTAATCTATAACAACCAAATTTGCCCAGCGCAGATATGAGAACTTCTATCGACAGTGTAAAAATTATGAAAGGGCCCTAAATACGCCAAATATATTAAATTTTACCTCCGAGATGGTGTGAGACGGCTCTGTGACATTTTTATCATTTATGTGCAAATTGGACCATAAGCGTTGCTTGGCACCTTTTGGTGAAATCACATATTTAGCACGAAAATCTATCTAGCGAAATCGGACCACAACCACGCCTTTCATTTTCAAGTACACAAATTATACATAACTTCCGCCCGAAAATTCATAAATTCAATTCTAATAATATCTCTGTGTATCAAAAATTGGGTTAATCGAGTAAATACTTCCCTGAGTACCCATTTACCTAATATAAAGATTTACGAACATCGATGTGACTATATACTGCATGTATTGTTCTTAGGACCAAAGCGATCTTTCAAAATGGTTTTCGCTAATCCTTCCGATATTCCAACCATTCCAGTAAGATCTCTGACTAATAATATTCGATTCTCAAGCACCAATTCCTTTATTCTATTGACGTATTGATCATCAGTTGGTTTTTTTTTGTTGTAACGTTACCTAACTCCGTTAGGAGGATAAGGATTAGATAAGTTGGCATCGCCGTCATCGAACGGTAGGCCCAGAAAACGTGTTGTTTCGACGGAGTTGGATTAAGGAGAGAGGGGTGTCGGATGTGTGAGGTCAGCAGGGCATGCAAAGAGATGGCTAGTGTCGAGTGGAGACTCATTGCTTGGTGGACATATATTTGATAAGTCAGTCTATTATAGATAAGTAGAAGTTTAATTGAATGAGCTGTATTTAGAAGTTCGCGCATGTGAGGATAATTCTCTGATAGCCATTCACTTGCAGTGGCCAGAAATGATTCTTTTACATATGGCTCACGCTGCTCACGAGTTCCGGTCCTAGACTCCTTCGTCCAGTTTGTGAATATGGTCGCTGTGGATTTGGTGGGGGAAAGTTGGAGGTTCCGTGCAGTGAGGAAACGAGARAGGTCGGAGAGGTAGCTGTTTACCTTCGAGCACATGCCATCGATTCCATTGCCCGACGTCA